TTTCCCTGAGTTCACTAATTTCTTTGGTTTCAGCTGTAACCTGTGGCAGTAAGATTCATTGGGAACAAAGGGAACCACACATTTTTCTTATTTGAAAGGTAAGAACACAAAAGTATTATAGACTGAAAGAACATGCAGTGGATAATAAACTAAGACCATGCAAGACAGACAACCCATAGCCATCTGATTTCTCAACCAGTGGTCATCAAGGCATTAGTGATACAGAGTTGAGACAAAAGAATAGTTGTTTAGTTAGACGAGTTCAAACTGACCTCTTTCTTTGTGCAGTAACAGTGAGGGGCATCACTCCACAAAAAGAGTCTGTGTGTGTCTGGATCACAAATGTAGCATTACTTAGGACAGAATACATCCCCTGTCATTTGCCTCACTAAAGGTGATTTTTTGGAATTCCACATGAGTGTCCAGACCACAACCAAGAAATATTTTGGTTTTCAGAGGTCTTCTCCTTTTGACTTCCCTTTCCCCACCCCTGCATGCAAGTTGTTGAGGTGGCACCAAATAAGTTATCCAGTAATTGCAAAATTGTAATGCTGAACAGTGAACAGTTGCACCTCAACTACCAAGTTTGAGTAATTAATTTGGGCCCAGATACCTGACTTCTGTAGGTAATTGATGGTTGGGTAATCTGCCTATTAATTTCTTAAACTCTGGCATGTCTCTAGTTAATAATCAATAGTCCTGTTTTCTAATGAAGAAATGGCCTTGACATCATGGCCTTTGTGCAGTGTTAAAATACTATCGATCATTATCATTATCATATGTCCTTGATATGCTGTATAAGGGCATTAATATGAGTTTTACAGTAAAGGAATATTTAAGACCATGGAGAACAAGAATATATTCTGGAGAGGGCATTCTCTTTTCTCTCATTGATGTTGGACAAAACTGAAGAAAAGAGCTCCTTCCCTCCTCTCTTGAACATTGCTCACTTGGTGATCCCAAGATGGTCTGTGGCAACCCTTTTCCTTTTTGTTGGGGAGATATATATGCAAATTTGAATGTAATAAGTCAGATGCTATTATTTGGGTTTACTCTTTTCTAGTAAGTCATCCTCTCATGGGACATTCAGCTTCACAAGCTCTTCACTACATCTGCTGCAGTAGCCTCTTGAGCCATGTTCTAAGAGAAAATCAAAGTATTAATTGAGCCATCCTGGGCGCTATAAATAGAATGTATGATCATTTTTCATCAGAGACTTATTACAGACCAGAGCCTGGTCTATATTTGGATCTTTTGACTAAGGTGCAGTATCTAATTTCAAAAATAATGATACAGTAGATCTTATTTTACTATTCTTCCATGATAAGACTTTTTCTTCTTCCAAAATTTATACTCTGCTATTTAATAGGGAAAATCTTTTGTACTCTAGGTGTAAAATTACACCATCTTCAAGTCATTATTTAAAACAGACAAAATCAGATATCCTCTGCTGAGATGAAAAAATCTGAAATAAGCTAGGTTTAAAATGCCTGTTGCTTACTGATGGCACCCAGAGTATGGCTCAGCATAAACTTGGCATAACAGTGCCAATTGTGTTTAATGCTTCCATGTTTGGAAACAGAACTTCGAAGGGCAATGCTTTTGGCCAGAACACTAAAATATAAGTGGTGTCTGAATTTTGTTGAGATGGGGTCTAGGAATGTTCATGCCCTTATGCTGGACATGAAAACATTTTCCAAGTCTACTTTTGCTCTATACCTACTAGCACACTATTGCTCCCAGTAGCATACAGATTAATACTATATACATTTCTTTACAGAACTGATAGATGTGTTCTTAATTATATCCAGCTGCAATATATCAGCATAGGCTTTTTACCCCAAGGTAAGTGCAGATTTATTCAAGATGTAGAGTATGCATAATGCAGAGTAGTACACTTGTTACAATATGACTCATAGACAGTTATGAAGAACTGTGGATTAGACACGCGTGGGGTGTCCATGACTGCATCAAGCCAGTGAATTCTAGCAAGTACAATAAGCACATTTAGTATGATTTGTTTATGAACCAATATCTAAAATTGCAAATTTTCTGTATGGTAATTTATGTACATATATATAATATACTTACATTAAAAAATAAAGCAATTTTTTGATAAAATAGGCTAAGAACATCTTGAATGTGGGAAAAGCTATAAAAATTGCTGTGTGTAATTCACTCTTTACATGTGTACCATTCCTATTAGCATTCATAAGGAATAAATCCATGAGATGGACAGATTTTTAAAGTGATGTTGTTATTCTTATTAGATTATTTTAAGACTTACAGATATCCCATTTATAGGTAAGTAGTGTTTTAAGTAGGGTATAAAATTCCCTTTCTCAGAGAAAGCTTAAAATTCAGAAGATGTTCTTAGCATCTGCTTTCAAACAATATTTTGACTTTTACAAAAATTTTAGAAAAATAAAAAAATGACAATCTACACTTTGTTTTGATTTTTCTCATAACTATTTAAAAGCAATGGAGGGGGGGAGTATTATATATATAAATGTTTGGCATGGTGTGGCCTTGATATATAATCATGTCTGTTCAAAAAATGTCTGTTGAACAAAGGAACTGGTCGTAGGGCACAAGTGGTATCCTGAAGCAACTGAAGGATACAAACCTTGTCACTTCTTGTCTTGGTATCATTAGGAAGAAAATCATGTGGTTTCGCTTTAGGGGGAGATGAGCCAGTCATGTGACTATAGCTAGAAAGCCATTTTTAAGCATCTTTTCCCCCCATATGAAAAAAGAGGGAGGGGAGTTTTCAGCTTCATAAAATGTTTGCTCACTGGCCTGCCAAGAAGTAAATATTTTTACAAATATATTATTTACTACACAGGAAGCTTTTCCCTGAGAACACAGATAAATGTGCTTGCTACAGGAGCTTTATGACCACTACAGGCCCAACTGTCATTCCTTCGGTACTTCCTGTCAGTCCGACTAAACTCTGTCATCCTTCAACCCAGTTTAAATTAACAGGTAATTTGTAAATGTCACTTCAGGTTAGGCCGCTCATTTTGTTTCTACTCTACCAATGCAAAGTCTAGGACTAATTTTTCTTGTCTTCTTTTAATAGGATTTTCATTTATAAATAGAATTATGTTCTGAAAATAAATTACAGTAAGTGATGCACAGAACTGGTAGCAGCAGCACTTTCATAGAATTTCAAGCACCTACATCAGAAGAGATTAATAAAAACACTTCAAAGGCTAAATTCTATTTAAGCAGAAGACAGCTTTTGGTTAATATTTAATCTGAGTAACTGAGATCTTGGTTGAAAATATAATTTTTTAATATCTAAATTAATTTGCAAAACAAAACCATTAATTTTGCTTGAGAGCTTTCATAGTGCAAAAGTTTTTATAATTTATTTGGAAAAAAGTTAAAAATGTAATTTAATAGTAAAAGACCCCATTTTAACACGGAATGTGTGTCTATTGCAATATATTGTATTTGATCAGGTATAGCGTTTAAATCTAGATCTTTAAATGGATTTTATTGTACATTTATGTATTAAGACTTTTCATGAGAGTTTCTGAATTATAGTGTCAGAATGCTTTTAGAGGAAAGATTGTTGGTGAGTAAATATAACGTCTTACAAAAACAAAAATATCAATTTACTTTAAATAGATTTGTTTTCACGTGTCATAGGAATTAATATAGTGTGGGATCAATGTTTCACATAGAATATTTAAACAAAAATGCTGTACCCATGGTATCTGGGTTGCCTGTTCTCCTCCAAACATCTTCATTTTCAAACTTGTCAGGGAGATCTGGGTATAGGGGAACAGGCACAGTAACCTGCACCCTATATCTACTCTATTGTGTTGGTATAAGGCACCTCTTCCATTCCAGAGACACTGTTTGCTCCTGAATAACCTAATTTCCAGCAGAGAGAAGAGTTCAGTTTAGGCATAAACTCCAAATGCCTATAGTCCTTTTAAATTTTCCAAATTGGGATGTGGACTCTTCTCCCACTGTCAATGTCAAAACTCCTGTTGACTGCAGCAGCAGGAGGATTGAGCACTTTTTCCTTTCATTACATTTCTTTCAATCCCTCCACGTTATATTTTTATCTTCATTTCCCATTATCTTCTTTTCACATTATCTGTGTGCGTGCATGTGTGCGTGTGTGCATGCGTGTGTTTGTTTAATCAGTTTTCTTTCTAGTTGATTCCTTTTGTAAATCCTCTGCTTTAAGCATAACTTCTCCAGCATCTGCTTCAAAAGGATATGATAAAAGGGTTGATACAATGTGTCCAAATCTAGGAACGTTAAGGTGGTGTGTTTCACATAAGGGGCTTTTTTACTCAGTGTGTAGCATAATGTCATTATCAAGTAAGATAAAACATGATTTGCACACCTTGTTCAGTTGTACTGGTTTCTCTAGATACATTGTTGATATCTTTAAACACTTCTAATTACCTGGTGAATGTGTATGTGTGTAGTGGGCCCCACACCTACGTATATGCTTGCTAATAGGTCCAATGGTTGGTGTGACGGCAGACAGAATAATAGAGGTTCTAACCTGCTCTACTAAAAGGCATGATCCTGATCTCCTGGAGGTCAGGGGGAGGGGGGGGAATTCTGTTAATTCAAGATCAAGCGCAGGATGCTTGCTGCTTTTAATTGTCATTTGTGCTTTTATGGCAGTCATGCAGCTCCAGTGCAAGTATAGGCCCAGTGGCTGTCAGCAATTCTCAGTAAATGGCAGCAGGTCTGTGTGAAATGGGGATAAACAGAGATCTGTACAGATGAACTTTTCTTTTGACGTGGAACGGTTATGAGGTCTCATGCAGGAAGGGAACAGGGTGTGTTTCAGCTGGCTCTGTGTCAGGAGGTGCCTCAAGTGGAGCTGTTTTCTTACTGCCCTCTGTACTCCTCCACTACATGCCCACATTTAACCACTCCTTCATGTCAGGTGACCTTATAGTGTCTTCAGTGCCTGTTGTATTAAATGACAAATACAAATGCTATTTTTTTTCATTTTGCAGTTCTTGAAATAAATGAAGGCAGCTCCTGGTCTGACTCTTCATTGATACATTTTGTGTTTGTTTAATTTTCCATAAAAATATTGTGTGCTCATAAAAATATCAACAGATGTGCCATGCTAGGGTCTGACTAGGTCTTTTGATACATTAAGCTAGGGTAGTATGTAGCAGCACTGCTACTCACCATTTCCCTCCAGCTCAGGAATCCACTTCATACTAGTGTCATACCTCATTTCATAGTTTCATAGTTTCTAGGGTCGGAAGGGACCTGAGAAGATCATCTAGTCTGACCCCCTGCCATGGCCTTTCCCTTAAGGGTGTCCTTGTGTCTGCTTCCCTTTAGCAGGTACACTTATCTCCAAACATGAAAGTTTTTGCATTGGCTGCAGTGGTGCTTTGAAAAAGGCTTCACTCTACCCAACAGATTAGGATCAAGGACACTTCTGGAATAGGGAGATGGTGAACAGAAACTCAACAGCTGAAAAGAATGTTTGAAATTGGGACTGATGATATAATACTGCAGTCTCTTTGGCTTGGGTAAAGCATGCCTGAGAGACCTCTGTATTGTAATCTAGTACTTATTAACTAACACACTATTAAATGGACATGGTGAAATCTTGGGTCCAATAAAGTCAGTTAACTTCCTCTGGTCAAGGATTTCTTCCTGAGTATGGACCACAATGGTAATAAATAAAGATGAATTTGTAACTGTCATTGCAGAGGCTGTTTCAGATAATCTAAAAATTACATTTTTTCTGATATTGAGAATATCTGAACCCCTTTGTTGGATACTGAAAAACCTATTTTCAGCAGGCATTAATACTGACTTAATATCTGAAATATAAGTTCCCTATGTAAATATTAAACATTAAAGGTCTTTTTTATCCAGAATGTTAAATTAGCATTTATACTGAAAAAAGTCCAAAATTTGAAGAAAGTGCCTTGATATATTAGGTAATAACTGAAGTTCTCCCACCCTGGATTAATTATAATTAGGAGGGGTGCATGTACAGTTGGAATGTCATTCATTTCCTTGGGCTTTAGTGGATTTTATCTGTAACTGCTGCATCAGTCCAATTTTCTGCATAACTTACCTTAACAGGGTTTCACAAGCTGATCTATACTGATTTGTCACATTTTCCCACTGTATACCTTACAAAAGATCTCATGGTGAAGCAGAAGTAAGCTCACAGTCCCACAAGATGTGGCCATAATATAGATCAATATAATGGAGTATGATGAAACTAAGGAAACTGACCTTTATATGAACTAACTGCTGATATTCTTGAAATTTGAACTAGCGCTTTAGTTCTGGTAAGACTGCAAAAGAGCTAATAATCTGAAATGCTGACAAAAAAGAATCCACTGTAAAATAAATGCCTGTCTGCCTGTCTGACCATCAAAATTAAAGCAGGGAACTAATTTATTGCCACCTGTCCCAGAGACAAATATGTAAGATGAATGTGCACCGTGCGATCCAGGATGACATCTGGGGGAGCATTTATTGTCTGTCAAAGTTATTGAGAAAAGAACAACTATGCCAGTTGTTGCCCTAATTCTTTTTAAGTATGTAAGCAATTTACAATGAAAAGCATTAAAAATGGTGTGTGTTTTTGGAGTGATTTGTGTCCATTAGGTATTTTAAGATAGATAAATAAAATTGTGGGGGGGTTTTCCATGTACTGCTTCTGTTTTCTGCCCCCATTGCTCTTTAATTATAAGAGAGTTTGGCTTTTTTTTTTTTTTTGAGAAGGCCAACCAAGCAGATTCATGAAACCTGTCACTTGGGGACCACTTTAGAGCTGTCTCCTTCATATCACAGCAGGGATGTCTTGTAAGGAGAGGTCCAGAGGTTGGACCTCACTTCTCTTTTTAAAAATTATACCCGTCATGGGCTATTATAGATCCTGATCTTTACTTTTCTATAGGTAGGAATCAAGCCACAATTAAGGATAATTGCTGTGTAATAAGTCTTCATGTACTGTGTTTTATTATGCATCTCTTTGCATGTTTGACATAGGAAATTTGGGTGCATCCTTTTAGATTCTTGTAGAGATTTTCATACAGACAATGATTCCATTCATTTGGTCGAGTAAGGAAAGATTTACAGGTGTTCAGTTTCTGTGAATATTTAGCAGCCCACAGATTTGACACCTAAAATCAGTGACAGTGTTAGGCTATTATTTTTTCCAAATATTTAGTTACTAATGTTTTTATCCTATGCTTATATTTGGCTTCTTTCAGAGACAGTTACACATACAAAACTGAGATAACTATGAACACCCACATTATAAAAAAAATGTAGTAATGCACAGTAGGTTCAAGAGTTAAATAAAAGTTGAGGCACATGAGTGTAGTCTGTCCTAGAGGTGTTGCTTTTGGCTGGGAAAGGTTGCATGTATATGCATTTGGAAAATGTTTCTTTATAATAAGGGGAGTTAGAGACTTAATCTCTTAGGAATAGGGAATCTGTCACAATGAAGAATGGTAGACATTTCACCGATTTCATACTTTATTGTAATTATTACTACAGGACCATCCAGGGGCCTCAAATCAGTCAAGGTTCTACATTTTGCTAGGTGCTATTAAAATTTTGAGGAACCAGTCTGATCCAAACAGCTGGTGAACTGAGTATAGGGTGAACACAACTAGGTACAACAAACTTTTCAGTTTGGATTACCTATGATTTTCTGAAAATAAAGTCACACTCAATACTACTTCTGGTTTCCTTGTTTTACTCATTATTTTCCCCAAGTATTGACAGCTTGTGTTCCTGTTTTGTAAAGTTTTTTATTTGTAATATATATTTTTAAAATAGTATATTGCTTTTCTGTTCAATTTGATAAAAAAATGTCAAGGCAGGATTATCCAAATTAATCAATTTCTTTTCCATTGACAATAACAAAAACTTGAAATATAGCTTGCTTAAAGAAACTGAGATCATAAATATTTACTTGGAGATATCCATTATGCAGTCTGCATTGTTTCTTCACAGGACTTGCAAAACTACTGTATAGAGAGAGATTCAGTATGGGAAAGAACTCTACTATTTCCTGTCATTCTCTCACAGGTCAATGAATGAGAGAGAAGGAAAAATGAATTTAAACTGTTCCTTTTCCTGGCAGTTTTACTTATGGGAGATTATAGTAGAGTGAATATGTATTTTTTTATTAGTCTATCTGTAACAGGGCACCACCCCCAGGGTGGTTACAAGCCCCTGGAGGTCCCTAAAATCCCTCTTTTCCTTATTAACTCTGGGAACAGTCTTCCCTTCACTCAACCACCAAGTCTTGATGTTCCTTCTAGTTCTCAAGGGGAGGCTTCCCCAGGGCTTCCCAGGTCTGGTCTCACTCCAAGGAACACCTGGAGATGTGGATCTCTTGCCATAAGAGCTAATTGCATGGTTCCCCACCATGCCTACACCGTGACCCATGCCTCACAGATTTCGAATCTCCAATCAGGTGGGACCCTTGTCCTGGCATCTCCAGGCCACTCCAGGCCTTTCTTTTCTCTTTTTGTTGGGGTTTTAGCCTTCCCAATTTCTGCCTCTCTACTCTGGCTGGTCTTGTAGCCCAGGCCCACTGCTTTAAGCCTGGCTTCTGGGCCCCAGCCCACACTCTGCTTTGAATCTGCCCCACCAGGGCTCAAGACAATCATGTACCCCCAGGGATCCTAATGGAACCTCCAAAAACTGCCCCTCACAGTTCCAGCACAAAGCACTGGTTTAAATTGCAATATAAACACTAAGCCCTTGGGCTATAATATAAGAAGAAAAATAGGGGCTGCATTCCTGTTTACCAAGTGTCACAGCACCGCTCAGTCAATAACTGAACTTGGGAGTACCCAAAGCAGGATCTATCTCCTCAAGTTTTTGCCACATGTTGATGTTATCAGAATCTTTAAGGAGGGGATTAGTGGTAAATAAATGCATCCCCACTAGGGGTACTCATGGTTTGGATGCAGCTGACCTTGGGACTCTGCCTCCCCTACACCCCATCCACATGCTGACCGTAGGTGAGGCTTTATGATCTATTGCAGCAGCGTCAGCCATTTTGGGTCTACTCTGCAGTCATCAACCTATGTCCCATCTTCTGATGCTTCAGTGGGTTTCTGTCAGATTCAATTAAGTTTACATAGCACCCCTCCACCACTCACTTCTTTCCCGCTTTCTAGGCACTATGCCTAAAGCTGGTCCTCACTAAAGAGACCATGAAGACACTGGCCCAACAGGCCTCTCAGAATCATCAAAGAAAATAAAGAAGAAAACCTCCACTAAGGAGGAACTATCTATGAAGGGGCTCAGCAAACCCCTTTGGATTTATATGCCTTATCTTCCCTGTTGTCCTATGGGGCCAGGCCAACTTTCATAATCTCAAAATTGTGCTGTTAGATGGGAGGGTATGACACAATTGCACATATAGAAACACACAAATCAATTAGGTGAATACACATGCACGCGCGCACGCACACACACACATGCACACACACAGCACATACACACAATAGGCACATACATACCTAGGATTACCAGTCTAAGCACATGCACACCTATCACCAATTCAAGCACATACACACTATACATGCCAAAAATTAGACAAAATCAGTTGTCAATGCCCACACACCTAATACACATACATGGATTACTAATTTGTATATCACGCACACAATTATATATATATGCCAGTTCTCACACACACACCACACACCTACACATATACACAGATGAGTTCCTAACTTGGGTGGTGTGGTATGTGAGTACTTGGGGTACTTTGGATACCTAGGGTGCTCGGTGACTATGGGAGGGGAAGTCAAGGGTCAAAGATTTCCAGAAGGAGGGGAAGGAGGGACATGGATGGGGGTTAAGATGAGAGGGGGAAAAATAAGAGTGAAAGTGCCAGGAGTGAAAGTTGCTGGGGCCGGGATTAGAACCAGAAGGCTGGAGGGGAGCTGGGGTTACTTGAGGTTAATTGATGTTAATTGATTAAAGGAAAATGCCCAAAGCCGGCAGAGTAGAGGAGCAATGCCAGGGAGAAGCTGACACAGAGGCTGGGACCAGAGCCAGAGCTATGGGGGAACCAAAAGGTACTGGAAGAGGGAAACTGGGGCTGCAGGGGAGCTGGAGAAGGGCTACGGGTGCTGGGAGGAGCTAGGAGCTACAGCAGGGACTGCCAGGGAGCAGGGAAAAGCTGTGGGGGTGCTGGGAGCTGGATCGGGGCTCTGGTGTGCAGCTGGAGAAGC